AAATGTTTTGTAGGAAAATATTGGCTCTTAGCTTGCTGGGATTAGTTTACATGTAACCTATTGGTTGGCACTCTGGTATTTTGGTTTAATATATTGGGACTTACACTTCAAATATAAACTCTGAGCGCATTATTTTTGTTGACTGTTTGAAATAGATGTGTGGAGAAGTTAAATTACAAGAAACGGAAGGATAAGGAGCTATTGGAGAAAAAACAGAAAAAAGAATACAAAAGGAAGAGGTATCAACTTGTGTTCAGAAACCTTTTCCGGTCATTAAATATGTGGTTCAAATCAATCATTTATCTGTTTTGGGTGAAAAGATTGTTGACTTGTAGACTATTTGCACGCAGGGAAGAAGCAAAGAGCAATAATGAGAGAGATGAGGAGTATGAAGGGAGTGAAGAAAGGAGAAAAGGTTTGGGATGGCAATTTTTTGTGGTCATCTTTATATTTTGCGAGTTATTGTTTTAAAGAATTACATTTCATTTGTCTTTTGTCAAGTTGCGCAGCATCTGCTTTCATTCAGAGATACATATCTATTAGGTGGATAAATCAAACTTAGGGTATAGAGTGTGTTGTTTCGAGATAAAAGGAGAAAAGTTGTTCAATGTTTATATGGTATAGATATAGACCAAAAGGGATATATCTAGGTCTGTAATCTTAATGAATAATGAAGCACCTTTGTGGTAAATAAACGAGCATGGCCAGTGTTGGTCATATGTTCAGGTCTAAAATCAAAGTTTGGGTGGTTCCCCAATTCTAATGTGTTTATTTTTATTTTTTGTTATTGTGTTTTTGCAGGGAAAAGGGCCTCGGTCTCAAGGGTCAATCATGAACGCGAAGATGATGAGAACTTTGATGAATTCCTAGAGGGAATGTTTCCATAAAGATTGGTGAATAAGTGTGTTATTATGCCATGTTTAGGATTTACGATTACCATATATAGGTAGTAGTTGCACTTGGGCCTTCAGGCCAGTGGCAAAAAAACCACATTGAAGTGCATTCCCCTTCCCC